AAGGTGTGTCGTTCTTGGTGTGGGTGTGGTGTGGGTGTGTGGGGTGTGTGTCGTGTGTGTTGCTGTGTTGTTTGTGTGTGTGGTGTGTGTGTGTGTGTTGGTGTGTGTTGAGTGTGTCTGCGCTCGTACCAAATTAACACAACACACAGAGACTCCAATAACTAACAACGCTACACAACGACCTCTAACTACCCTTAGCCCCGCTCGCTGCCCACCCCCCGGACCTCCGCCGTGCTGTAAAGGAACATATAGTGTTCAGAATTTAACATCAAATATTATTTGCATGAGTATATGTGTTTTGTGTTTTGTGTGTGTGTTGTGTCTGTTGTTGTGTGCGTGTGTCGTTTGTGTGTGTGTGTTCTGTGTGTGTGTGTGTTGTGTGTGTGTCATTTATGTTGGGTGTATGTGTGTGTGTGTGTGTGTGTGTGTTTGGTGGGTGTGTTATGTGTGTGGTGTCCCTCCCCCTGATGTGTCGTTGTGTGTGTAGTCCGGCCTGCATTCATGTGCTGGTCTGTTTCGTCGCGTGCGTGCTGTGTGCTGTGTAGTGTAACGTAACAAACCAAAATGATCACGTGAAATACGCATAGTGAATGTGAGATCAACAGTAGTACGAAGAAGCTAAAGAAATATAACAAACAACAAGAATTACCACTCAAATATAAACAAACACAAAAACAACCCCAACCCGGAGAGGCAGCTCAAACAGAGCCAGAATATCTCTCACCCCCCTCCCTAAACTCCCCTTCCCTCCCCACACCCCCCCCTCACACCACCCCACCACTCTTACGCTCTCACCACACCACCACCACTCGCCACCCACACCACACACCACCACCACACACACCCACACCGCAACAACACCCTACACCCCACACATCACACCACACACCCACACACACAACACACACACCACACACACACCCCGCACAGACACACAAACCACACACACACACACACACACACACACACACACAACCACCCACACATACATGCACCCACACACACACACCACACACACACACACACACACACACACAACACACGGACTCCACACACACACCACACACACACACACACACACACAAACACAGCATACTCATGCAAATAATATTTGATGTAAATTCTGACCCTATTTGTTCCTTACAGCACGGCGACTTCCCCGCGCACACGTACTAAGGTAGTCAGAGGGTACGTTTGTCCCGTGTATTATTCGACCTCTGTGTTGTTATAATTGCACGAGCGCACGCACACACTCACACACACACACACACACACACACACACACACACACACACACACACACACACACACACACACACACACACACACACACACCCACACCCAACCCACAACACACACAACTTTAGTTATCTATGACTGTGTGTTATAGAGCATATATTTTGATTATATTTTACAATCGCTACCAGCAATTCCCCGCCGATTTCACTAGTTCTTGACCGTCCACAATGCACCAACCTCATTGTGGCATTCGCGACGCATGCGCACTACCGCGACTTTCCCTTTCAGACATATTTGCTCGTTTTAGAACTTTAGAATCTCCGCTATGGAAGAATTTCATGACACAACCATCTACTCGCCTGTAGCGAGAACACTAACCGTGCATGTCACCACTGGAGCTTTACCTGTCTTATGTAACTTCTTACTTTATTTCTGTTCTTTTGTTCTTCCTCTGTAGACCTAACCTGCAACAACACCGGGAACCAAGACATACGCCGTCGACAACGACGCGAGTTCGTAACGAAACCCCTCGTCCTAGGTATAATATTTTGCTTATACCTATAGAGTGAGACAAAAGTTTGACTTACCTATACTGAGGCAAAACTTTGACTTACCTAAAGTGAGGCAAATATTTGGCTAATATATATATATATATATATTGATAGGGAACTAAGTATGTCGCCGTAAACAAATCCGCTGCTCCAAGCCCGTGTCTAAAGTCGGTAACAATATTAATATTTGCAACTTAAAGCTTTATACTAACAGTTATACAACATTTACAGAACAACAAACAATAAATTATAGTACACGAACCAACGTTTTATTATTATATAGTTTTGTCATATCTCGAAATGAGAGCAAACATGTCGGCTGAAAGAAAGTTAAATTATAGCTGGTTTGAATTTCCGTTAAAGAGATCTGAAAAATGTGTATTGGCAAATTGACGATTCGCACACATATAGGCCTAATACGTAAGGATTTGCTTACTATACAACGACGTTGTTTCATGATTAAAAGTCAAACTCGATTCAAGTCAAGATCTTATTATTTCTGTCATCCGAATTACCACATTGATCATTGAACACATTGAAGGAAAAAGTTTTAATGTTCAATTCGTTATTTAGGTGACCCGGTTATCGTCACAGCATAAGAACTCCACAAATCCTCATGTACACACAGGCAACTATCACTTGCTGGCGGATCCCTCCATCAACCCGTGTCCCGTGACTCACGCGGAAGGCACTGCGTTCAAGGTCGCGCCCTACAAAGCTGCCGTCTGATGGCAACACACACCACCACACAGTGGACAACACACACAAGACGCGAAAGTAATCGCTCATTCAACACCCGTCGGACGCTCCGCCATCTTCGCTAAGCAAGTTTACGATTAACCAGTTTGTGAAGCCCGTCGATCTAGCAACCGTAGAAAAAAAGTCACCGATGGGTCCAAATACGATCGCGAACACGTGATCCGGCGGTAGGTTGCCGATACGCTTCAGTTCCACGGATTCCGGTCGTCTGAAAACAAATCAACACACACTATCGCCGATAGCATTGCTGTTTCTTCCGAGCAGCTGTAGCGCAGGCAAATATTTGCACTGTACGCAACCCTGCTACGCGTGATTCTGGTGGAAACACTTTGGTGCACGAGACCGGGCAAATATCAGCAGGTGGGGTCGTTCCAGTGGCCACGGGCCTTCCGTACAACAGCTCACTACGCGGTTATTGACAACAAAAAGCTGATAAAGAACAGTTTCCAACCACTTACGCTACAACACCGCAAGGAGAACAACACTGTTATTGTCCTGTTTCAGACGTTTGACTGCGTCTGGACAGGCCATCGATCTTATATAGCATACTCAAAAATCTGAGAACACCAACGCCACACACGCCCACGCCCAACGCACACGAAACACAGCTCCAAGTAAACACACACCGGATCGACACAACTCGACGTTAGAAGCTATTTAAAATATCGAAATAACGGTGTTTCACTCAAAAAAACAATTATTTTAAATTTCTATTTTACAGTTAACCTCCGCGCGCCCTCTCTCTCTTCTCTCTGCTCTCTCTCTCGGTTATATTATTATATATATATATATATACTATATATATATATATATTATATTACTACTCATTGGTTACGTATATTTTTATTCGCGCTTGTGTCCTTAGTTATATTGGTCTAGAAACCGTAATGCAATTCCGGTTTAAATAATATCTTATTACTAAACTACCCACCAAATAAAATATTGGAATATTTAACTTAACTTAAACAGCCCCCGCACCACCTCAACCTACCTAACTTAGACTCACCTGACAATAACCACTTTATCACTGACATATGCTGATAATATATATATCGTCGATATAAAAATATTTTCTTTTGTATTACTCTATTTATATTCATAATACGTTTTATCATCTATCTTAATTGAGGTCTCTCACTTACCCATTATTTAAATCACTCATGCCCTTCATTTATTTCGCATACTATTTCCACTTAGGATACAC